TGACCCTAGATTCGCGTGGTCAAGGTGAAGGAACTGAGGACTTTTTACAATTTCTGCTCTCTCTTTAGAGGGGTTGCTCCAAACGCACTTTACGCACCTATGGGATTCTCACACTCGTCCGTTCAGAAAATGACGTGGACGAGGTCATTTCCTGGACGGATGAGAGTGTGAGAATCCTCATAGGTGTGTTATTATGCGTTTGGAGAAACCCCTGTAAAGAGGATTCCGCGTAGCCCGCCGGGTGCGTGCCGGGTCGGGCGGATGTGTGCCAGGTGCAACACTGCGCCTGGTCTACGCAAAGAAAGTGAACAAAAAAATGCGGGAATTTGCTGGAGAAATCCTCCCAACCCAAGCCCCGCTGCCCTGGCGCAGCCTGGCGCCGTTGCAGAAGAGAGATTACGCGCAAGTCACAAACGACTTACTGCACGATAACTTGGTTAAGCCTAGCTTGAACCCAAACAACCCTCCAAAAAACAAACGCCGGACGAAAGGCGCGCACTTCTTTTTCCGGGTTGCTGGAAAGTTGCACTGCATCTAGGGCACGCAGTGCACCTTGAGCAGGGGGCATCATTAACTTTCCGTGAAACGTTAAAGCCAAACAAGCGTGCTCTGGCTACGGCAGCGCTCTGCCTGGCGCGGCATGTGTGCCCACGCCAATGTCACTGGACAGCGGTCCGTGACCGGTCCAGGCCAAACCGCGGGTAAGGTCAAAGACCGCGGACAAGGACAAGCGTGTCGAATATGCGGTTGCCAATTTGACCCGTAGCTGGGTTTCTGCGGGAAAAAAAGGGTTCCCCGACGACCGTGCCCTGTTCCACAGGGCACTTCTGGTGCCCATGCACGAAGGGAAGTTTTCCGCAGTGTCGGTTCTCACATCCGATGGCCATTTTTCCAAAGTGTCCTCTTCTTGGTGCACCAAGTTGGCCAGAATGTGAGTTTTCCGCAGTCGGGGCTGCCACCCCCCGCTTCGGAAAACTCCCAAACGCCGACGACCGACGACCCAGGCGCGCCCTGCTTAGCACTTGATTAGACTGGAGTACCCCGGGGGCAAGAACATGTCTGTGTTCCGCCAAGTGGTATGATATCTTGCTCAACCTGAGGAAGGAGAATACACCCAGAGAAATCACGCTACGGGACATCCTATAACACAAAATCAAAGGAAGCAGGAAGCTGGAATTTGGTCCAGGCTTGGCAAGGCAAGGCCGCCCGTATGTTCCAGGTTTCGGCAAACCAAACCACTTGGGAGGATGATTGCCCAGCTTCCATCCCTACCAAGTCGTCTTCGGCACACGCATCCGCGGCAGCCAGTGCTTGCAGCTGGTGTGGCCGCGCCAAGGGTTTAACGGGCGAGTGCTGAAAGCACAACGCCAGCCATGTAAGGCATTGCTGGCTTGACTTGGAAAGGCTAGTATATGGGTTATTGGGGTCCGCGATGCGACCCACGTGGGTTTGCTAGTGCCGGGCACCCGCGGGATGTCCTGAGGGCAGCGCATGGTGCAACCTGAAATTTCCAACATTTTGGAGCCCTCTGTGATCCACAAGCGGGAAGGCTATGGCTGGTTTTGAGATCCTTGTTCAGGATGCTCTGAAGGCTGACCACATTTGAGGCGGTTCGAGTGCAGAGCCTGGTGGGCTGTTGAGGGATCTCAGATGCAGTGTAATGCTGGTGGCCCAAATGAGCAGGCCTATGCACTGCTCGAGTGTTTTGCGGAGTACCCGGGCTTCCCAGCAGTGCTTTGATCAAGGCGTCCAGCTTGGTCAGCTTAGCGGACACGAGCTGAATGGTGTCGTAAGAGAAGTTGATCTCCCAGCCGCACCAAACAAGGCTGTCCTGGAACTGCGCCTTTTTCCATGAAATTGGCGCCGCAATGGCGCAAAAGAAAAGCACCACCAAGGCAAACATATGAAGAGTGCACACAGAAGGTCGTCCACAAAAAGGAACCGAGAGCTTGGAGGAGCACGAGGTGCTGCGGAGGTGGTGCGAGGCGCTGGGCAGGAGTACCAGGGCCAGCGCTGGCTGGCGCACAAGGTCTTCCTAAGCTGCTGACTCTCTCTTTAGAGGGGGTTTCCCAAATGGATTCTATTCTACCTGAGAGGCTCAAGCCAAACCAGCCAGAAAGCCAGCCAGGAGCCAAGCCAAACCAGCCAGAAGCCAAACCAAACCAGCCAGAAAGCCAGCCAGAAGCCAAACAAACCAGCCAGAAAGCCAGCCAGAAGCCAAGCCAGCCAGAAAGCCAGCCAGAAGCCAAGCCAAACCAGCCAGAAAGCCAGCCAGGAGCCAAGCCAAACCAGCCAGAAGCCAAACCAAACCAGCCACCAGAAGCCAAACCAAACCAGCCAGAAAGCCAGCCAGAAGCCAAGCCAAACCAGCCCAGAAACGCAGCTGCTGGGCATATTGCCAAACCGCACATCTAGGGGTCATTATTTTGCAGCCACACGCCTTCGCGCGGCGCAGTCTGCAGTTCGCGCAGTTCGCGCAGTCTGCGGCGGAACTCCACGC